CACTGGGAAGGGTTCGGTCCGGCCAGCGATGGAGCACCACTCCAAATCCACGTGAAAGTGTCGAGCCAGCCTCGTGATGATGCCACCCATGTGCATGGTGTCCACCCTGTTCCGCCCAAGACACCGGACAAAAGAGGTGGCGATCAGCGATCCTAGGTGTATCGGCTCTGTTGGATGCCTCATAGAAAAGAGAGCCAGCAGCCCACTATTCGTGATCAAATGGCCCGACTGCGAGCTAGGGACGACGGATCGGGGGAGCAGCATGTGCATGATCCTCCAAGGGGTCCACTCTCCAATCCAAATGTAGTTTGTGCTGCCCGGTAACCACGTTCCACTTATCCTTCCCTCTTCTCCATTGAGAGCAATGTCGATCTTAAGTGTGGGGGTTATGGTATTTATAGTTGACTGCGTAGATGTGTTTGTGTGCTTGGAGCCTAGTCCACTGTCTAAATTTCGATTTGAGGGATTCAAGTACGTGTTCCTTAAAATCGCCTGCTCAATATGCTTTGAATTGACAGTCTTTATAGTACTTTGCAACCTAGGGAGGTAGTTGTAGCACTATGGAGGATGCTGAAGTATAAGATTTCTCCTATCTCTCTTTGTTGTTGTCGGTTGATAGTGTGAACTAGTGGATTTAGGACCTTTGATTCATGTGATGTCGATGACTCTCTAATATTGTTGTGCGTGGACTCATGTTCCGTATAAGGGTGCTCATGTGCGTAATGACAAAGCAATTGGTCCTCCATGTAAAAAATTTGAAAAGTTAAACATGGGGTAAGCCCAACGTGTGTGGCACCATTCATTGCACAAAATTGGGTTTTGGAAGAGATTTTAGTGATCCTTGGTAGGGTAAGCCTACAAGGTGAAGCTAAGTTGTCTCTAACACAAGTAAAAATTCCACCCGTTGAACGGTTTGCCTACTCGAGGATGTGTTATTAAGGGCACGGATAGAGACCCCCCCCCCCCCCCCCCCTTAATTTCATTGACCCTCCACACGAAGTGAGGAAAAAGAGTTAAAAGAAGTACTCTGACGAGAAAGATGTACAAAAATTGCTCTTACTCACCCAATAAGGGTCGACCGCGCATAAAAACTGCAGTTTGGAACCCCAGCAAAGTGAAAATGTGAAAAACAAAAGAAAAAGAAACAACTCATAAGGAAATGGGGGTTCCAATGAGTAAAATGGAATGGAAGAGCACCCGATACGGAGAGTCCTTGGTTGTTGTGTTATGTGAGTGAGTCTCATTGTCCATGAATTGACGGTCCTAGTTCCACTGCTTCTCATGATCCTGGTTTGAGTCTAGTACACGCATTGAGAGAGATATGAGATGTTTTAGAAAACTGGTTAACCTCGTAAGTTGCTAAATGATCTAGGAAATCCTCTACCGACGATTGGGGTTGCATGGTGTTGTGGAGGTCTGGAGAGCTACATTGGTTTGAGCCAGGTTTGCTTGGGACAAGCAAACGGTTAAGTGTATGGGGATTTGATAAACCGTTATTTGTACATGTTATTTCCCACTAATCTTGAACCGTTTAAGAGTTGATTCTCGTTTTTTAAACCGGTTTCATGCTAGGTTGTGCTTTTATGTCATATTTCAGGACCTAGAGAGAAAAGGAAGGCTTGGAAGCGAGTTTCGGGTCAAAAACACCAAGGAAACGGAAGGAGGAGTGTAAGGGCCAAAATCCCCAGTCTAGTCATCAAAAACCCGATCGGGGAAATGGGCTAGAAACCTGGGAACCACTCCAGGGAAATTCCTCGACCTAGACCCCCAGTTCCCCAACCGAGTAATTCCAGTTAGAGACCAGGGAAAGACTCCACGGAAATTCCTCGGCTTGGACCCCTAGTTCCTTGACCGGGTTTTTACCCGCTGATGTTACGCGCCGTTTTGAAGAAACCTGGTCGGTTCTCTTAAAACCCGACCGGGTAATTGGATCAGGCTTCGGGCAGGAGGGTTGTTTGAAGGCAATTCCGGGTTCTTTGTCTATTATCCAAGTTTTAGAGCAAGAAAGAAAAACCTAGAGAGAGAAAGCAACGAACTAAACCTCCAAGGTGACCTAGATCGAGTTTTGACGCCATTGGATCTCGATTGAAGCCTAGAGAAGTGATGATTGACAAACAGAAGCTGATTATCATCCTCCACAAGATGATTTCTACATCTGAAACTGATTTCTCTTCTCTCTTTATGGAGTAAACTCCCTCTCTCACATGGGTATGAAGAACCCTATAGTTGTATGTTAGGTTTGATTGTATAAACCCAAGTACTTGATCCTTTGACATTGATTATTTTCAATTGAGGCCTGATTTCTGAATTGCATAAATCCTGATCACATTCTTGTAGTTTCTGCTTTGACCTAGAAAGAGAATATCTGTCTAGGTTGATAGAGCACCCTTAATTGAAGGTGGTGAATTGACTACTTTAGTCGAGGAGTCAATTCACTGCTTTGTACTAGATTCAATCCAATAGAGAAGGTTTTGCACGTTAGGGCCTCAGTTTTTTTACTCCGGTGAAGGTTAGTCGCCCACCGGGTATTCAGATTGAGAGGGTCTGGACTTGGTGAATTACAATTCGGCCTAACTGCAATCTAGGGGGAACCATATCCGGGTGACCTCTCTCAAACTTGAATCACAACTTAGTTTCTTTGTGTTTGGTTAGATTAGTTAAAACTTCACTATAGTTAAGCAACTAGAAAACAAGAATATCGAGGAGTAGTCCTCACACCTAGGACTCAGGTTGACAAATAAAGCTAAACCCGCTATACTACTGACTCGCTCTAACTATCACAATAAAATCCCACCTAAAGTCCAAGTATAAACCTTAGATGGGTGCAATATAGGGCAAGTATGTTTAAATATCGACTCGGGCCGGTCCATGTATCGCTACTTCGACTGTTTGAAACATTATCTAGCGGATCAGTTTTGGTGAAAACAAAGGTCTAAAACTAAATTACTTTGCAAAGATAAAATGGATTTGACTCTAGTTGAGAAACCTTCACCCGGGTGTTGCTCCCGCTAGCTAACAGTTACGACTTGAAGAATCGAATGATCGTGTGTGGTTAGGGTTCATAACCCACAGGGAAGTTTAACAAGCAACCAAGGTTACCCTCTTAGACTCTAGGTTGAGGAATGGGATACGATCCAAACCACTAACGTGACCCTCTCAACCTATCGACTAAGGAATGGTTAGACTTCACCCTAAGTGTTTAATACGAATTAGGAGGTTTGCCCTTTAAATAACCAAGACTAGGAGGCATTGAATGCCCAAGGAAACCCATCTCGAAATGAGCCTCTTAGGTTAATGAGGGTTCTCTCTAAACTAGTTTATGAGGCTTTAAATGCCAAAGGAAACCATACCTCTTGGGTGAAGGAGGTTTCCTCTCTAAACTAGCCTAGGAGGCATGAAATGCCCAAGAACCCCATCTCAATATTGAGCCTCTTAACCTAAGGAGGTTCTCTCTCTAAACTAGCCTAGGAGGCCTGAAATGCCAAGAAACACCCAATGAACCTCCTAACCTAAGGGGGTCTCCTCTCTCATCTAGGTTAGAATGGCAATTATATTGATAGGCTTTCACACAACACAATCATTTCTGAATAACACCTCCACATTCACATTAAAACACAAACACACACAAATCATTCAATTCATACAAGTATTCACATAATTCAAGCTAGGATTTACCAACACCCAGGTGAAAGAAGGGACTAGTCCATGCTACGACAGGGGAAAACACAAGCGAAGGAAAGGGAAACCATCAAGAAGATGCACTCCTTCCTCCTTGTGCTGAAGAAATCCTCCTTTGGGGAAGAAATTCCCAAAACCTTGCTTGGAGAAGAAACCCTAGTTTTTCCTCTTCTTTGCTTCGTCACTTTCTCACTCTAAAATCTGAAGAATGAAAAGTTTTTCTCACTCTAGGTCTCTCCTCTTTCTTCTTCCCTTCAACTTTCCTTTTAAGTGGGAGATCACGCTGAGTTCACGGCCTGAGTTCACGGTCGTGAACAATGAAACGCGTCCGTGAACTCAGTGCCTCTACCAAAATGCCCCGCTTCATTTGCTTTCGAAGTTGAATAATGACGCCGCGACCCGTTCCTCCAGAATTGGCTAAGGTAACCATTAGTAATAATAATTCGGCAACGCAGGAGAGATCGGGAGGCACCAGGGGAGGGATCCAGTGTTTCAAGTGCCATGGGAGGGGGCACAAGGCAAACAAGTGGCCCAATTCCCGGACGATGGTTCTTCAAGACGGGGAATACATCACAGATGACGAGGAGGAGAAGGTTGCTAGCGCAAATTCGAGTGATGATGATGTGGACGAGAGAATCGAAATCGAACCAGCCCCTGCAGGTAAGTTTCCGGGGGTTAATCGTTGCACTCTTACCTTGGAAGCTCGATCCGAGACTGAACAGAGGTACAATTTGTTCCACACGCGATGTTTGATTAATGGGAAACTGTCATTTATGGTCATTGATGGCGGCAGCTGTATGAACGCAGTGAGCTTGGATGCAGTTAAAAAGCTGGGTTTGACGACAATCAAGCACACTCAGCCATATACGCTCCATTGGCTGAATGAATACGGGGCTCTCAACGTTAATAAGCGCGCCAAGGTTAGCTTCGAAATTGGCGAGTACAGGGACGAGGTCTGGTGCGATGTGGGGCCGATGCAGGCCGCTCATCTGCTACTGGGTCGCCCATGGCAATACGATCGTGGAGTTCAACATGAAGGACAGAGTAACTATTATAAGTTCAGGCATGATGGGAGGAAGATAATGCTCAAACCATTAGTTCCCGCTGAGGTTCGAGAAGACCAACGACAATTGGAACTGAGTTGGGCGAAGTTCAGGGGACAGTCGAGCGGTTCCCAGGAGAATAAGGAGAGCGAGTCGACTTTCGTGGCTCGACGACAGAGGTTGACGGCTCTGAAAAGCCATCCCGCCACGAAATCCACCAGCTCTCGACACCTCTGCATTTCACCGGCGAAACAGAGTTTAAAAACGGCAGAAGTGGGCATGGCGTTAGAGGAAGAATTGGATTCTTCCAACCCCAGGAGCATGTTGCACAGAGCTCATGGAATGACGACCTTCACTCCCGCGACGGCCGCGCAACCTGGGATCAGAATGCACAAATTGGTTTTCTACCGTTCTGGACGGCATAATTTACAACATGTTGATGGTGGGAAATACACAAACTCGCAGCCGCCAAGTTTCAAGGAGAGTCGAGTCCCGAAATTGTCTTGGAGTTTCATGTGGAAGATGGGAGCCTATGATTCGAGCTGCCATTTGGGGTGCAAGGGCTTCAAACAAAACGCCTCAAGTTCGTCGGTTCTGCTTAAGTTCGCCGGACGAACTGAACCATTTTTAAGTTGTTACCCAACATTAATTGACCCCGATACAAGATTGGAGTCTCAAGATCAGCTCCAACTTAAGTTTACTTGGCCGAAATCAGGACCCGCTAAAGATGGCGGAGGTTGCAGTGAAGTTTGGACAATCATTCTGCCGCAGTTGGAGTCCACTTTTGACGACCTCTTCTGGCAAGATTCTAATCATGTTTTGTCTTGCAGTGATAGAAACTAGTATTTAGTCATTTTTATTAATTATCGGATTATTGCTATTTGCGATTATTGGGACTATTTAGGGCATTGGGGAATAAATTATATGTCGGGTAGTGATAGAGAATTATCCAATTATTATATAAATCACTTGTAAGTGGAATTAGGCCACTAAGCAAAATTAAACCATTCTATCAAACCCTAATCTTTCCTCTCTCTCTTCCTCTCTCTCCCTCGGCTGAAACTTCCCTTCTCCCTTCCCTTTTAGCTCCCCCCCCCCCCATTCCCCAAACTTCCTTCTTTCTTTTCCCTTGCCATTCCCAATTACAGGGTCATCATCTCATTGACCCCCAAGTTCCAATCCCTAGGTAGAGCTCCATTTAGCGGGTTCTATCAATTAGTATCAGAGCCAATCCTCCTTCACCGGGCATCATGGTCTCCACTAAGCCACAGGTAGCGGCTGAGAAGGCGGCAAACACCGCACAGGGGCAAGCAGTAGCGGCGGCGGGCGGGCTGCCGTCGAGCAACCAAGAGGCGCCGACTGGGACTCAGCCCTCGGCCACAGCGCCTCAAGGGCAGCCTCCTCTCCCTGCTCCGCGCGGTCCGGTGGATGGCGAGCTGGAGGACCTGACTGAACAGGAGGCGGCGCAACACCACCTCGACGTCCTCGTGGATCTGGTAGCGAGTGAACGACAGGAGAGGCTGGAGGAGTCACGGCGGGTGTGGAGCCGACTTGATGCTCTCCACGACATGACGGTGGAGATGCGGGGTGGGTCGGCGGTGCACGTGAAGGCCGTGGCTCTCTTCGGCGGCGGAGAAATCGGCGCGGGCAGCGGCGCCGGGGCCGCGAGTGGCGGGGCCGCAGTTAGCGGAGCGTCGTCGGTGGCCGCGCCGATGGTGGTGATGGAGGCGGTGCCGGTGGTGAGTGGCGCGGGAGACCAGGCGGTGTCCCGGGGGCATGCAGGCCACGATACGCTAGGTCAGGGTGGCGGACCTGGTCTGCTGCCTACACCGTCGGCCCAGGGGCTGGCGGCCCGGAAAGGGAAGTAAAAAATGCCCGGTTATGACGCCGAAGGACCACCGGAGATTGTTGGGCCGCGATGATGGACCAGGTCGCAAGAAGCACCAATGGGCCTAGATGGGTGTACCTGGAGGACGAGCCCGGGGATGGCGAGTTCAGTCTGATGGGTCAGTCCGCGCAGTGGGCCGACCCAAGTGTGAACCAGAGGGGCGGGGGGCCGAGCCGGGTAGTTGAACCAGTCGGCCGGGCCAGGGTGGACCATGACTGGTCGGACCGATGGACAGCGGACCGGATCGGGCTGGATCGAACCGGGATGGACCGGAGCAGGGTGGGCCAGCGGTGGGCGGCCCGAGGTGGGTTGGACCGGGCATCGACCGAACCCGACTAGCTAGCCGACCAGGGGAGCGGACAGCAGGGGTTCAGCCTGTTGGAGAGCCCCGTATGGGTCGCACGACACACCGGGAGGATATCCGGACCAGCAAGGTGGCTACCTGGGGCATTATGGCTCGGGTAATCCGAGCAGAGGGTATCCGGACCTACACGGAGGCTACTAGGGGTACTATGGCTCGGGAATTCCGAGCAGGGGGCAGGGGTTCTCACAGGGGCAGCCATGGAGGGCCCCGGGCATGACAGGTATGGATCGTGCTATCATAATTATGAGGGTGCTGATGGGATAGTCTTTCGTGCTAAGCCTCCTACCATTGAGTTTCAAAAATTCAATGGGCAAGAGGATGCAGGTCTCTGGTTATATGCAGCTGAGTGGTGGTTTCAGAACCACCCAATTCTGGAGGAACGGAAGGCCTACCTGGCGTCCTTCTATTTAGAGGGAGATGCACTCCAGTGGTGGGAGTGGATGGAGCGATCGTATACGGCCGCTGAGACTGTGATCACCTGGTCCATGTTCCAAGAGGAGCTCCGTTACCAGTTCGGGAAATCAGAAGGATGGGCTCCGGAGCAGCTTGCAAAGCTGAAACAGACTGGCACGGTGGCTGACTACCACGCAGAGTTCTTCAAGCTGGGAACCAGTGCAAAGGGGTGCCGGAGGACACCCTGGTGGGGCTATGCATGGCGGGTCTCAAGCCCGAGATAGCAGCAGCAGTTCGAGTATTCGAGCCGAGCTCGTTGAAGGCTGCTTTTCGTCTTGCAGGTCACAAGGAAGAAGAACTTGCCAGCTGGAAGGGTACCGTTGGACGTTACACGAAGCCAAGTGGAGGGGGGAGCAGTAGTGGAATCAGAGGCAGCGGAGGAGGAACAGTCGCGGGAAGTGCAGGAGGGGCGGGAACACCGCACCAGTGACCAGGGGGTAGGACCCCGAGCCATACCAAAGGGGTTCGTGCGGCTCTCCCCAGCGGAGGTGGACCAAAAAAGACGGGAGGGCAAGTGTTTCAAGTGTGATGGCCGATTCACCATTGGTCATCAGTGCTCGAAGCCAGATTTGATGATGCTAGTGGGACGATGGGAGGATGAAGCGGAAGACTATGCCGAGGACGTCGGAAATGGCGATTATTGGGACTATTTAGGGAATTGGGGAATCAATTATATGTCGGGTAGTGATAGGGAATTATCCAATTATTATATAAATCACTTGTAAGTGGAATTAGGCCACTAAACAAGATTAAACCTATCTATCAAACCCTAATCTTTCCTCTCTCTCTTCCTCTCTATCCCTCGGCTGAAACTTCCCTTCTCCTTTCCCTTTTGGCTGGCGAGCAGCCTCTGCTTCCCCGTCCACCCCCCCCCCCCCCCTCAATTCCCCAAACTTCCTTCTTTCTTTTCCCTTGCCATTCCCAATTACTGCTTCCCCATCCACACCCCCCCCCCCCCCCTCAATTTCCCAAACTTCCTTCTTTTTTTTCCTTGCCATTCCCAATTACAGGGTCATCATCTAATTGACCCCCAAGTTCCAATCCCTAGGTAGAGCTCCGTTTAGCGGGTTCTATCATGCAGGGAGATACCTGCTTCGGGGACAAAGCTTTTTGAACCAGGAGGGCCTGATATGATTCTGGATTTCAGCTCTATTCTTTTTCCTTTGTCGATTAAAGAAGTCATGATCACAAGTAGAGCTGGAATTATGAAAGTGGTCAAGTATGGAAGCCAGTTCGAGCTTGTCACTTTGAGTCCTTATTCCGGTCGTTTGGAGGCTCGTAGAGGAAGGATGGAAAATGGAGACAAAAGAGCAAGTTTTGTTGCTCAAAGACAAGGTATTGGTTGAGTAAAATGCGACATCCATAACGTCGTGGGAAGGGTGCCAAGATGCTACGGAGGGCTGAGCATTGACGTGTGCTGGAAGTGTTCTTGCTTCAAAAGGAAGGAATTTAAGTTACCTTGTTCGTTAGGGATTCATTTAGACATTTACCATGTCCGTAGTGTAGTTGCTTTTCCTTGTTAGGTTAGTAAAGTAATTAGTTTCTTGAGTCCTATTTAAAGGCCTACGGCCGCATTGTAAGTTTTTCGGTTTTTGACGAATTAAGAATTGTTCAAAGTTCACCAAGTTCTTGACTTATTGTTCGTAATCTCGGGTTGCTTCCAAGACCAGCCGAGGTTAAGCGTTTCGTATTGAACGGAATTTCCCTCGTTCGTGGCCGAACTTCGACCTACACTGATCAAGCCTCTTCCCCACGTGTTGAAGTTGCATCTTCGGTTCCACCCTACCAGCGAGACTTTGTTCTTGGCTGGGTTTCCTTCTAGTGAGAATTGCATCAGCCAAACTGTGGGTTGATTGGAGACGCTGCGAGCTTTGATCAATTACAAGCGGAGGTCCAGCTTGTATCATTTCTAGTGTGACGGTAAAAGCGAGTCATCGCCTGACATAAAGCATTGACTGTGACGAGGAAGAGAGATCTTCTAGGATATTCACCTCCAAACAAGCATGACTGATCATTAATTAACCGCCGTAGGTGGTCTATACAAGACAATATGTGATTAGGGTGCCTGATAGAACATTTAATGCTCTAAAATCCACCTAATCGAGTATAAATACCTCCACACTAGCATTGATGGTAACTCAACTTCTTCCTCACTCCCTAAATATAACACATAACCTCACTTCTCTCTCTAACTTAATCATCGGAGATTGTCCTGGGTAACCGCCCACGGACCCTTATTTTGTAGGATTCAGGAGTGCTTCCTATCATCAAAAACAGACGACTCGCTCGTGCTCCATCAAACCGCCTAGTACATTCTAGGCTCAAACCGTTTTAATTATGTAGATTTTTTTATTTCTATCACTTTTTACCGAAGAATGTTTTATATTTGAAGAGTAGTATTCTTGCCTTCGTATTAATCAAGCTACTGTCATTCTGGCAGCAGTACTATTTGGTTACTAAGTGGAAGGGTTTGTCTTCTTGGTACGGGTAGATATCAGTATATTCTTGTATCAAATTCGACATCTCAAATTTCAATAGGATTCTAAATTTAATTTCAATCTCAAAATAAATTCCTTATTACAATCACAATCTCTAATATGTTTGTTAGGTATAAGTATATACCAAATCGATTCCCTTCAAAAATTACCGATCAAATATATAAAAGCAAATACTTCTCATTTCCTAGAAGCTTCACAAAACATTTCGAAAGTTAAAAATATATAGAATCAAAAAGTGGTACTAACATTCGTGCAAAGCAAATGGAAAAAAAATCTCAAATATAATAACAACAAACTAGGCAAAAATGCGGTGCTTGAGAAGCATATTAACAAGCTAAAGCAACAAACTGAAACATGCGACACCTAAGTAGCCCACAGCCATACTATAAGTAACGAAATGAGCTTGGTCTGGATTTTCAAATAGTGAGAGAATAAGCTATGTTTAATTAAGTGGTGATTTATGCAGCTGAGGGTTTGTTAGCAGTGAGTTAGAGAGCCTAGTTGAGAGGGATAAATACTCACTATTTATATTTTGGTTTTGATCGGTATTTCAGTATATACTGATCTCAATCTCGTAATCTCTAGTCCCAAATAAGTAAATAACACTTGAAATTCAATTGTAATCCCATGAAATAATAGC